CTCGTGCTCGCTGCGGAGTAATTCCCGGTTCCCGGTGGGGGAAGCACCCCCTTCCGAAGCCGAGGCTGTGCGCCCTAAAACAAGTAGCCCCAACGTGGGAGAAACAAAAGGTATTTGCTGACGTGGGCGTTGGACAGAAACGCCCGAGGGCTGAGGACACAATTAAAGGGGCAACGCACAGATTTCAGGCACCAACCAGCAGCTTCGCCCACTCCCCCTGTCCGTGCCCACACCCGGCTGCACCCTCCGCAGGCGCTGGGGCGCCCAGATTCCCCAGCAGTTGACTGCGGATCATTCTTTTAGTCGCGAGCTTAAATTTTAAAATTGTACTTTACGTTGGGAAAGGCGCCTCCGGAGGGCAGAAAAAGGGCTAGGATTTCTAAGATGTGGGGATATTGGTTTAAGGACAGAGGGAGGGACTTAGGCGTGCCCACAATTACTGTATAAGTACATATGACATTATTGTTCTTAAGTTTAGCAACGTCAAATGGAAGAGATTTCCACAAATTTCCTCTCTTTATCGAAGCACTTATTCTAGTCAGGGATAACCCTTTAGAAACCTTTGTAGGTCCCCTTCAGACCATTTGAAAAGGCAAGCCCAGAGAGGCTGAGATATTGAGAACATGATTTTATTTTGTGTTTTTGTTTTTCAAGACAGGGTTTCTCTGTGGCTTTGGGGGCTGTCGTGGAACTAGCTCTTGTAGACCAGGCTGGTCTCGAACTCACAGAGATCTGCCTGCCTCTGCCTCCCGAGTGCTGGGATTAAAGGCTTGTGCCACCACCGCCAAGCTAAACTAAATTAATTTTATATTTCCTCATATTAGTTGTTAATTGCTGTGAAATAGTGTATTATGATGAAATGGGGGGAGACTCAAATCTTCAAAGCATACATTTAATGTTTTTTTGAGGGGTTCCTCTCCCAAGTCTTAGTTGGGCCTATTAGGGTCTTGTTTCTTCGGTTTCCTCACCGATTAGCTAGAACAAAACATTTGGTCTTTCCTGAATATTATACCTGTTTACTCCAGAGTTGCTTTGTGATTTAGATGTGTTTCTTTACCTTTTGAGGTAATGGAAGGAAAAGTAGCCAGAAGCTAGTTTGAAAATCCTTACCACACCTTTAATCAAAGCACTCCAGGAGGCAGAGGCAGGCAGATCTCTGAGTTAGAAGCCCTCCCAGGACAGCCAGAGCCGCATAGTGAGACCCTGTCTTGAAAAAGAAAACCGTTATGGTTCAGCATTGCTGAATATGCTCAAGCTGTTCTAACATTCCCATTGAAGATTTATCCCAGAAAGAGCTGGACATTATAGTAGCTTATTGCAGCACTGGAAAGGCAGAGGCAAGCAGGTCTCTCTGTATTCAAGGCCATCCTGGTTTACAAAGAGAGTTCCAGGGCAGCCACAAGGAGACCCTGTCTCAAAACAAAAACATTCTGCTGCCAATTAAGCCAACCAGGAAGGTTCCTTTGCACCCTAGGGGGCCTGGCTTGCAATGCTTGCAAATAGCAGCCTTTTGTCCATTCCTGCGTCCAAGAGGAAGTTGGAAACAATTCTCCAGCGGCTATTCATGTCTCTGATCTGGAAGCTAGCCCTAGTCTACACTCCAGACAGGTATGTAGGGGAGCCCCAGGGCACACTGGCCACGGTTAATTTAGGCCAGGTCATCCTGTCAATCCAAACCACATCTCAGAGCAGAGGGGCCCCACCAAATGGAAAGCAGGTGAATTTGAAGGGGGAAAATGGTGTGTGTGTGTGTGTGTGTGTGTGTGTGTGTGTGTGTGTGTGGGGGGTGTTTCCTCCACTCTAAATGCCATTGCCACCCTGAACTCCTGGGCTCGCTCTATCATCATTGTCTTGTTCAACCACCCAAGCAGCTGGGAAGCGAGGTGTGTGCCGCTGCGCTGCGTCTGGCCAAAGGTTTTATTTTTAGTGTTAGTGAATTCAAACAGCCAACATAGCCAGGTGTGCTGTAAGGCCAGCGACTGGCAGATGTAAAACTGGAGGGCCCGGCAGGCATTCCAAGCTAGCCTAGGCTATACACCTGGACCTTTCTCCAAAAACAAGTGAGCACATAAAATAGAACAAGTCTGTAAGCATGCTTCTAGACAGACCACATAAGGTTGCTTGCTGATGCACTGTATTCCGAGGAGAAAGAGTTTTCCTTTCATCTTCATCCTCCTGACTTCAGTTGTTAGACCCTAGGAAAGCTGAGGCTTCCAGAATCTTAGCCCAGGACCTCGGCCACCCCAAACACAGAATGGAGGCGAAAGCTAGATGCAAACTGCATGAGGCTTTATTGTAGTTTAACGAGCTAACCCCATGTTAGCTCGGGTCTTTGATAGCACCCACCATGGCGGATGGCTAGCAAAGACGGCTCCTAGGGGCTCCCGAAAGATCTTATAGGGCAGCATAAGGGGAGTGTCTAGGGGTATGCACAGGCTCAGGATTGGTGTGCCTCCAGGCTTGGAGGGCTTGCCCTGTGTTTATTGGTCAACTGGTTGCTATGCTTTGTGCGCCATTGCCGTGCACTTGTCCGTAAAGCACACCCAGAGCCGTAAAGCATAGCGCCATCAGTTAACTTCTGATTGGTTCCTTGCCACGAGGCAGGCATCTGACTTCTAGTGACTAGGACAAGGTCTTGGCAAGCATGTGTTACTGTCATGGCTGCTGAAAGGAGCAGCTGGTCCCTTCAATGAATGTTTTGTCCGTATGTGTATATTGAGGTTACTTACAGGAATATGGGTGAGGGATTACTTACAGGAGCCCCTTACTGTTTATGTGCCTGCTGCTGGTGGTAGAAGCCAGCAGAGGGCACCGGGCCTCTGGAACTGGGGTTAGGATGGTTATGCGACACCACGTGAGTTCTGGGACTCAAACCCAGGTCCTCTGTGAGAGAGCCTCCGGTGATCTTTCCACTGAGCCATCTCTCTAGCATCTCCTTCCAATTTCACAGGAATTTATTCAGCACATACTATGAGCAAGGTGTTTGCTGCTGACTCTTAAAATACAATAGTGAATAAAAACTCTTGGCCCAGCCGGGCAGTGGTGGTGCACACCTTTGATCCCAGCACTCGGGAGGCAGAGGCAGGAGGATCTCTGTGAGTTTGAGACCAGTCTGGTTTACAGAGTGAGCTCCAAGATAGACTCCAAAGAAACCCTGTCTAGAAAAAAACAAACACAAAACAAAACAAACTCTTGGCCCAGCATAGAGTTCCAGGACAGCCAGGGCTACACAGAGAAACCCTGTCTCAAAAAAGAAAGAGAGAGGAGAGAGAGAGAGAAGAGAGGAAAGAGAAGAAAGGAAGAAAGAGTGAGTCAAACCTGATGGTTGTTGTGTAACAGCCTGTGATGAAAACTTTCCTTTTTTTTGTTTTTTTGTTTTGTTTTGTTTTTCGAGACAGGGTTTCTTTATGTAGCTTTGGAGCCTATCCTGGCACTCGCTCTGGAGACCAGGCTGGCCTCGAACTCACAGTGATCTGCCTGCCTCTGCCTTGAGAGTGCTGGAATTAAAAGCATGCACCAACAAGGCTCAGCAAAACTTTCCATCTTGTAGGGGCTCTTTAAGCAAAGAGCCAAACAGCAAGAAACACCTTCAAGAACTCCCTGGAACTGGGCAGATTCCCTAGGCCCCTTCCTGCTAGAGACTGCAGAGCCCAGCTGTAAGGAAGACTCTGGGCCACCTGAGTTGCCTGGAAGAGGTTTAGACCAACCAAGGCACCTGGAAAGGACACTCTCCAACCTGCTGAGCTGCCTGCAGGCTTTGCAGTGTGCTTCAGGTTCCCAGCTTTGGAGCTGTCAGCCATGCTGGGGTGGACCTTGGGGATGCAGCTGTCTTTGAGTCATTTCTGCTTCTGTAAGTAACCCTTCACCCATACTCCTGTAAGTAACCCCCAAAAAACTCATTGATTTTCCAAGCTGGACTTTGGTGGTGTCTGTAGTTTAATCTGTCATAGGAACCCTGTCTGGGGTGAGAAGATGAGTGTGTTTCTTCTCCTGGTAAAAGTTTTGTCACACAACAGTGGCTCATACCTTTAATCCCAGCATCTGAGAGGCAGAGGCAGGTGGATCACTCTGAATTCAGGCCAGCCTGGTCTACAAAGATAGTACCAGCTAATTCAGGGCTGTCAAGAAAGAAAGAAAGAAAGAAAGAAAGAAAGAAAGAAAGAAAGAAAGAAAGAAAGAAAGGAGCCTGGAAGATGACCAGTTTTTGTCATCTGTTTTGTTTAGTAGAATAGGAGAGTCACAAAGATCATAAACCAGCTTGGACATGTTGAGAATGAGGTGTCTCTGTGACTCAGGTTGATGTGTTTATCTTTTCTGTATGTATGCCATACATTTTCAGCCTTTTCATATGCATGTTACCTGAAAACCATAGTTTGGAGAATTCCTTCCTCTGTGGTTAATTGGTGGAAGTAGAAACTACCCTCTGTGTAGCTTTGATGTCTACCCTGACTTACTTACCCAGAATTCCTTGCAGATATAATGGACATTGTTTATACTTTGACCATCGGATGTACCGTTTTGAGGGAACTACAACAGCAATGCACAAGAACAACAGAGGATCTTTCTCTAACAGTGGTGACAGTGACAGTAGCTCCAGGGCCAGTGCTTCCAGTGGCAGCGTCCATTGCTGCCCTCCAATGCTGTGATGCTAGCTGGCTGTCCCTACTTGCTGAGAACAGTGTTGGTATCCTCACCAGGCCAGTCCTACGATGTGACTTTAGCTATTGTTTCCAGATGCTTTCCATCCTTGTGTCCCACCTCTTCTTGCATTTATGTGAACTTCTAATGTAAAAATTCATTTCTGCTTAAATTAGAAGCTTAATAAGTAAATTGTTAGGTCGGGCAGTGGTGGCACATGCCTTTACTCCCAGCACTGGGGAGGCAGAGGCAGGTGGATCTCTGTGAGTTTGAGACCAGCCTAATCTACAAGAGCTAGTTCCAGAACAGTCTCCAAAGTCACAGAGAAACCCTGTCTCGAAAAACCAAAATAAAGGGGGGCTGGAGAGATGGCTCAGAGGTTAAGAGCACTGACTGCTCTTCCAGAGGTCCTGAATTTAGTTCCCAGCAACCACATGGGGGCTCACAACCATCCATTATGAGATCTGGTGCCCTCTTCTGGTGTGCAGATATACATGGAAGCAGAATGTTGTATACATAATAAATAAATTTTATAAAAGTAAATTGTTTGAGATGAATATTAGTCATTGCCAGCTGTTGGTAGCGCACGCCTGTCATCCTACTACTTTTGGGAGGTATCCTAAAAGCAATGTGGGGAAGAAAGGGTTTATTTGGCTTACAAGTCCCAATCACAGTCCGTCTTTGAAGGATAGGACAGGAACTCAATCAAGCAAGGCAGTCACCTGGAGGCAGAAGCCAGAGGAGTAATACTTACTGCCTGTTCCTACTTACTGAGGGAGATCCAGGACCGCAAGGCTATCCTGGGTTACATGAGACCCTGTCTCACGAAACGCAATTTGTCATCAGTGTTATGTAGATAGCAGCGAAAACCATGCATATGGGTGGAAAGAGACCATGAAGTGAGGAAAGAGTTTGGGATGGTGCAGGGAGATCACACACACGGTTAGAGGGAGGAGATGAAGTGAGGGGCGAGGGCTTGGGATCTGTGGGGGTCTCTGCAGACTTCAAGGCTGGCAGGGAAACCATCCGGGTGAGGGACGAATGGAACTCTGTTCAGCCTGTGTAGGTAACCGGTGCCGGGCCACAACTTCTGGATTTTGACACTAGTTTATTTAATGTTCAGTCTGAGGGTCTAGGGGGAATGAATGAGGTAAACATAATGCCTAGTCCTAAGAAAACAGAAGTTACTTAGGCTGTTCTAACATGCAGGTGACATCTCTCTCAAGGATGAGTTTTATGGCTTAGAAGTAATGTTCAAGGTTTTAGGGGGAAAGGGTCTGGGATAAATAAAACAAATTCTCGGGATATGGGTAGAGCAAAGAACCACTGGGTTGTAAACTACATTCATTCCCAACATTCCAGGAGGAACAAGTTAAAATTCTCCTTGCTTTTTAAGAAAGCCTGCAAGTTTAGCTTTCCTGGATTTTTCCAGTGCTTATCTTCATGCACAAGGACTTTTTGCTCTCTACAGGGATCAAGTTGCGTTTTTTTGTTTGTTCATTTTTGTTTGCTTTTTTGTCATCTTGGTAAAAATCAGGTTCAGGTGGGAAGAGAGAGTTCAGTTGGGAGGACACCTCCATCAGATTGGCCTGTAAGCAAGTCAGGGAGAGCATTTTCTTGATTGATGAGCAATGTGGGAGGATCCAGCTCACTGTGGGTGGTGCCACCCCTGGACAGGTGGAGCTAAGTTAAGTAAAAACGCAGGGTGAGTAAGCCATGGGGACCAAGGCACTAAGTATTGTTCCTCTGAGGTTTTGTCTCAGTTCCTGCCTCCAGGTTTCTGCCTTGCTTGAGTTCTTGCCATGACTTCCTTCAATGATGGGCTGTGATCAGGACATGTAAGCCAATAAACCCATTCCTCTCCAAGCTGATTGTCCTCATGGCATTTACCACAGTAATAGAAAGCACTTTGGCCCTGCAACCAGGGCCAAAGAAATGCACCCTGACCCTGAAACCAGTGTCAAAGAAACACACTTTGTCCCTGGAATCAGAGCCAGTGAAAGAAATACACCCTGACCCTAAAATTAGAGCCAAAAGACTAAAAGAGGACCAGTGAAAGAAACACACTTTGGCCCTGAAACCAGAGTTGAATCTGACCCTGAACCTGAGCAGAAAACCAACCAATCGCTGAGCAGGAGATCTAGCCCGTCTGCTCAGGGATTGAAATCTGACCAATCTCCACCCTGGAAATCTCCCTGGAAAAACTCTGCCTCTAAGAGGCACTATATACAGGCCAGGTGTTGGTGGCACATGCCTTTAATCCCAGAGTGAGTGCCAGGACAGGCTCCAAAGCTACACAGAGAAACCCTGTCTCGAAAAACAAAACAAAAAACAAACAAACAAACAAAAAAGAAGCCCTATATAAACCCTATGCCTGTCCAACTGTCTGGCTGTCCTCTTCCACCCTGGCAGAGGCAGCCACTCTCCTGGATTTTTCCTTCTCAATAAGGTTTGGGTGAGACCTTCCTTGGAATGGAACAGAGGAGTGAATTAACAACTTTTCGAAGAGCAGAGTGGATCAGAGCAGGGTGTAATGCTTTGCCCGGCAGACCTTCCCTTAGTGAAGGGACCAGAGCAGAACTGTGACAACTTCAATGGGGAAGCACTCCCCTGCTGGAGCAGAACTGTTACACTGGAGAAGCCTTTCCCTGGAGCAGGGCTGTAAGCTGCTAAGCTTATTGTGACCTGTGGTATTCCTTGGCTTCCGAGTGCAAGAATACCTGTCCATCTGATCTGCTGCTATGGTTACAGTATTAACAAGCTGGAGATCATGGATCTCAGGGAGTGGTTTCAAGCTTGAAAGTTAGAGTGATGGTCTGAGCATACAGGAAAAAAACAACTCTGGTTCTATACTTCTATAGGTTCTATACCTACACAGAAGACTGCTAGGAATAAGAAGGCTCTTCAAGCCAGGCTGTGGTGATGCACACCTTTAATCCCAGCACTCAGGAGGCAGAGGCAGGTGGATGTCTGTGAGTTTAAGACCAGCCTGGTCTACAAGAGTGAGTTCCAGGACAGCCTCCAAAGCCACAGAGAAACCCTTTCTTGAAAAGAAGAAGAAGAAGAAGATGTAGAAGAAGGCTCTTCAGAGAAGCCATTGCAAAGCAGATGTGGTTGAGTGTCCAGGCATCTTAGACATTATCCACCTGAAGATAACATCAGATCCCCCAGGCTGAGGGCAGTTCCAAGACTGACCCCTTCAGATGTCAATTGCAAGCAATAAGTTGTTTTACTTGTGCTTCTGACCTGGTTGTAAAGGAAGCTTCCCACAAGCCACTGGGAGAAACACCTCAGTTCTCTGCTTTATCATAAAGGTTATGAGAAAGAGGGATGAATAAATAAAGAGGTGGCAAAGACAAAAAATAAATGGAAAAGGGACACAGAGTTCCCATGCCTCTGCCCACATGCACTGATCTCCACGAACCATATTGTACGACTGTCTTCATTACTTTTCTACAGGTGTGATGAAACACCATGACCTAGGCAACTTATAAAAGAAAGCTTTTTTTTTTTTTTTTTCAAGACAGGGTTTCTCTGTGGCTTTGGAGCCTGTCCTGGAACTAGCTCTTTTTGACCAGGCTGATCTCAAACTCACAGAGATCTTCCTGCCTCTGCCTCCCGTGTGGTGGGAATAAAGGCGTGCACCACCAACGCCCGGCTGGAGGGGCTGTGTTTTTATTGGGTCCCTTTCATTGTCTCCTAGCTAATATGTTGTGTATTGTTTCACAGAAAGGGAGAAATCAAAGTCATTTTTTAAAATTTGTTTAGTTTTGTTTTTTGAGACAGGGTTTCTTCGTGGCTTTGGAGCCTGTCCTGGAACTAGCTCTTGTAGACCAGGCTGGTCTCGAACTCACAGAGAGCCACCTGCCTCTGCCTTCCTAGTGCTGGAGTAAAGGCATGTGCCACCACCACCAGCAATTTATGGGATCTTAACTCGATTCTTATTGGCTTGGTGAATATATGCTGATAAAGTTAGAAACGGGAACAGCCAGAGACTAACTGTCAAAAGTTAGATTCAAACTGGGAGGTGGTGACTCACACCTTTAATCTCAGGAGACAGAGGCAGGCAGATCTCTGTGAATCCCAGGCCAGTCTGGTCTACAGAATGAGTTCCAGGACAGCCATGGCTTTTACATGGCGGGGGTGATTGGGTGGGGTACATTTAGTTCTGGTTGCTATGACCTTCTTTGCAGGCTACCCACTTCAGCTTTCCCAGCCTGGTGTTACTCAGCCTTTAGCTGTAAAAAAGCTGGAGCCCCCCAGAACAGCTGAAGTTTTTGTTTCTCCTATGGCTTCTTTGCTCCTCAGGACTGTGTTTCTAGCCCACCAGAGAGCTCCAACTCTCAACTGCAGGAGGTCCTTCCCAGAGTCCCTTTGAACCCAGATCAATATGAGGCCCTGCCAGAGAGAGGCAAGAATAGGTTGCTCCTGAGAGATCTGTCTGGAAAGAAGATGCTGCATTTCTTCTCACTGTAATAAACCAACTGACACTTACTACTAGGAACTTAAATCTAGTTTGTTTTGTGAGTGGATCCTGCAGGTTTGGAATGTGACAGCAGGTGGGCTTGTGTAACCATGCCTAACCATGCCTCCTAGGGGCTGGCTACAGGTGTGCCCGACCACAACCGGCAGGGCATCGTGGTCCGGGGACATGAGGGAGGTTTAAGAGCCAGAGGAGTCACATGGTAAGCCCCTTCTTTTTGCCTGCTTCATTGGCTTGCACTGCTTACTCCGTATCCTACCGGCTGGCTAGGTGCTCTGTAAGTAAGGCATATTCCCCCAATAAATATACCCTAATATCACCTGGCTACATATTCTTAACTCACCGTTTATAGGCTTGTCCCCCATTCCACAATTATACTACCTCTTCTGAGAAGACCCTGTGGCTGGGGGAAGATTCGGAATGATGGAAACTGGAATCTGGAGGTTTCTGTTCTTCCAAATTTAAGACTAAGACTGGGACAACAGCTGGATGTGGTGGCGACACCTTTAATCCCAGCAATGGGAGGCAGAGGCTGGTGGAGCTCTGAGTTCGAGGCCAGCCTGGTCTCCAGAGTGAGTTCCTGGACAGCCAGAACTACACAGAGAAACCCTGTCTCTAAAACAAAACAAAACAAAACAAACAAACAAAAACCCCAAGCAAACAAAAAGACTTTAAACAGCTGGGCATTTGTGGCGCACGCCTTTAATCCCCGAACTCGGGAGGCAGAGGCAGGTGGATCTCTGTGAGTTTGAGACCAGCCTGGTCTTCAGAGCGAGTGACAGGATAGGCTCCAAAGCAATACAGAGAAACCCTGTCTCGAAAAACCAAAAAAAAAAAA